GGGACTGCAGCAGGGGGCGTAGCCATCTCTGGGACTGCAGCAGGGGGTGTAGCCATGTCTGGGACTGCAGCAGGGGGCGTAGCCGTGTCTATGGTCATCAAGGCTGTTGACTCTTCTGCTGACGTCAATCTGGGGACTTCTGCAGATCTTGAGACCTCCGTGGATATGGAGACCACCTCAAGAGCTGCTTTGGAGGCTGTGAGACCATCCGTGGTCGTCGAAGCGTCCATGGTCATCAAAGCGTGCGTGGTCGTCGAAGCGTGCGTGGTCGTCGAAGCGTGCGTGGTCGTCGAAGCGTGCGTGGTCGTAGAAGCGTCCGTGGTCGTCGAGTCTTCTGCAGACGTCGACCTGGGGACTTCTGCGGACATCGAGTCTTTTGCAGATGTCGAGTCTTCTGCAGATGTCGAGTCTTCTGCGGACGTCAACTGGGGAACCTCTGCGGAAGTCGAGTCTTCTGCAGACGTCAACCGGGGGACCTCTGCGGACGTTGAATCTTCTGCAGACGTCAACCGGGAGACCTCTGCGGACGTCGAGTCTTCTGCAGACATCAACCGGGGGACCTCTGCAGACGTCGAGTCTTCTGCAGACGTCAAGCGGGGGACCTCTGCGGACGTTGAGGCATCGGCGGACCTGGGACCCTCTGCGGACGTCGAGGCGTCGGCGGACCTGGGACCCTCTGCGGACGTCGAGGCGTCGGCGGTCCTGGGACCCTCTGCGGACGTCAAGGCTTCTGTGGACGTAGAGTCTTCTGCGGATATCAACCAGGGGACCTCTTCAGATGTTGAGGCTGCAGCAGACTCTGGACCGGCTACAGCAGACTCTGGAGACTCTTCAGATGAGTAGTGGTGAGAGGCGTCCTGTGACATCTCACAGACACCAGGAGCAGGTGTGTCTGGTGGGATCAGTGGTGGCACAGGTGAGTTGGAGATAGATGGAACAAAGATTTGTTCTTTAAAAAAACTTATTTTATTGAGTATGTGGAAATACTAAGGGATCTGACTGAGTTCGGGTATCAACAGTAATAGTCTCTCAGTGACAGAGTAAGTGGTGTACAAGTACAGTGGATCTAGGTTGTGTGCAACAGAAGTGAACAGTCTTTGGAGCGGCATGTTTAAAGCGACAAAGTCAGTGGGAGACTTATCAGTAGAGTTCACATACTCCCTGACCGACATGTTAATAGTTTCTTGTGGTACAGCTTCAGGTGAGCCACAGCTCACCTGCTTCTTTGGAGAGTGAGAGGTCAGCTGCCCCATCTCTTGGGAAACTCCCCACTGCTCCTCAGGATGTGTGTGAGACTGCTTGGGGAGCACCAACGTTGTAGAGGAGGGAGAGAAGCCCTTCTGGACCCTCTCGGTACTGCAGGGGACAGTTGGGTCATGACCGCTGACATCTGAGTTTTCTGGGTGTTCGGTGGAGCGCTTTAGGGTCTGACATCCTCTTCTACGATGATGGCGACGAGATAAAGCATTTAGAAGAACAGTATGAGGAGCTGGTTGTTCCAGTGACTCAGGTGACGGACTGGACTCACTAGGGCTTGGAGCAGGGGGTGGTAGGAGATGAGCGCGCAGCATGCGTCTCTCCTCAAAAACCTCCATAAGAATCTCCTTCATGCCAGGGGAGTCATATAGTCCAGGGAGGCGAAAAAACTCGTCCATCATATCCTCAGTAGCTGCCCATCTCAGCCTCAGATCGTGGGAGGAAGCCACTGTGTCCACATAATGTCGCGTTACCTTGTGGAGCTGCAGGAAGTCTGCTGTTGTCAGCCCCGCAAGGAACTGACAGCCTGCTAGGTTCTTGTTTGAGCCGATCATTCGGTCATAATGGGTGTTTTAAAGGTCGAACCCAAGGTTACAGGCAGGACACTGGATACTCCAAAAGTCAAAAATCAACACAATTTATTAAATAAATGTGCTGACGTGGCAGCAAAACTCACATTTACAGGTGATCCTGGGAAACACAGAAAGCAAGGTTGGCAGGAAGAAGAACTGTTTAAGTACGTGTTCAGCAAAAATCTCCACCCTGACATAAGGATGTCAGTGCAGATGATGGCTAATTTCAAAGAGAAATCCATCTGTGAGATAAAAAGGTGTGCTGTGAATGTCTTTGAAGAACATTCACAGGCCAAAACACCCTTTGAGTTGTACCCAGGTGCGTGGATTCCTGCCCAGTCATTGGAATTGGAAGGGACGAGAGCTTCGACTCCCCCTCCCAAAAAAGGCGAGAGGGTCATTGGAATTGGAAGGGACGAGAGCTTTGACTCCCCCTCCCAAAAAAGGCGAGAGGAAACGAGGTTTCCCAGCAGCCAAACTGGTGAGTGCCCCCTGGTCCAGACGAGATCCAAAACGGTTTCCCAAGGAACCAGAAGATGAACGATCGTACCAGAAGGGGGGTGAACGCCCTAAGGGTAAAAAGTATGGCACCAAAAGTGACCCATACAAACAGGGATCCCACTGGGAACCCCAGGGGGGGGGGGGGGTACTGTTTCCCCACCACGTCGGATTGAACAGCCCAAGACGAAAAAGAAACAGCAGCAAGTCCAGAAAAAGAACCACAATCCTCTGAGCTCTGACGAGACAGACAAGGTGCATCGGTTGTTGGACTTGTTGGAAGGTGTTGCCACGGACAAACAACCTAACGCTTTGTTTGGCGATATCATTGCTGAAAAGTCAGAGCACACAAACAACACCGTTACTGCTGTCACAGACAGTCACCATGACGCTGTTGTTGTAAACTCTGACACACCCTCACCTGAGATGGGGGGGGGGGGTACAATCACACGTCACCGACGGTAACCCGTCACAAACTGAAACTTCAGCAGCAGCAACAGCTGTGCTAACGGTTCAGGGTGACACAAACAACAACGTTACCGCTGTCACAGACAGCCACCAGAAACTTGTTGGTACAAACAATGAGAGCCCCTCAACACACAGTGTGGGAGTGATCTCATACATCAATGATGGACGCCCGTCAAAAGCTGAACTCTCAGGAGCAGTAGCAACTGCACCAACAGTTCGGAAAAACCAGGATTACACAGGTAAAGGTAAACGTGTGAAGAAACGTCGGCCAAAACCTACAAGGTTCCTGTGTAACCTGATCAGAAAGGGTGTCGCTAATAAAGCTTACCTGTCAATCACACTTGAAGGAGTCCTCACATGTGAAGCCCTACTGGATGGTGGAGCCGACATGACTATTATGTCAGCCAAACTGTTCGAGGAGCTCAGGACTGCCGCTAACTGTGTTCATAGGGAAATACCTCTCATAGAATGTGCTATAGGATTGCAGGGCCTCGCAGAGGCGAGGACAACCCTGACAGCTAGAGCTATGGTTCACATGCAGGTTGGTGAGATGACACTATACCACCCAGTATATGTGTCTATGGTTGCCTCATTCCCATTTTTGGTTGGCCAGGATTTTATAAATCGCTTTGACGCGATTATAGATTATGGTACACAGACAATGTGGGCTAGAGTGAGCAAACCCCTGCCAATACTCATGCCTCCTGAGACAGTCACAGACTGCCCAACAGCAGGCTCTGCAGAAGGCACCAAGGACCTCTCGACAGAGAACACAGTCCCGGTAAGTTATCCTTCAAAAGCATGTGGAACCAAAAACACCCAACCGGTGAACCCGACTCTGACTGAAGTACAAAGCCTCCTCTGCGAGCTGAAACAGTCAGGGCACACCGAATACTACCTACCATTGGTAGTTCAAGGTGTAGAGATCCAAGGATCCCACACCAAAGATGCTGTACTGTCGTCGGGGACAGATAAACCAGCTATTAAGGACGGAGCCATGGACGGCCCTCAGAGGTCCTCTGACCCCTCCTGACTGCTCGCAACTCTGCCAGTACAACCTATAGCCGAGGTAATGGCAGTCACACGTGCACAGGCTACAGCCAAGCCGGCTGACAACACAGTCTCTGTACAACCCGTGCTGACTGACCCAGACATCATCCAACTTCAGAAGTTGGATCCTGCAATAAACTCGATGATGCTGTCTTTGACTGACCCAGAGAAAAACACTCCGCCCGAAGCCAACCTGGAATCCAATCCAGGCCTTAAAGTCCTCTTTCAGCTGCGCAATCAGCTAAAACTACTCAAGGGCAACCTAACTTTAGCTCATGGAGCGACGTCCTCACCCGTGTTCGTGTCCCCCATGACCGAAGGGGGGTGACGTTGGTTAGGGTAATGCTACCAGACGCGATAACGTGATCAAATCTGACATTCAGAGTGAGTGACGCACCGAAACGTTGTTTTCTAGTTGCTTAATCACTACTTTTGTCAATGTTGAAACCTTGTTTTACTGGTTGCTTAGTCACTGTTTTTGTCGATGTTGAGACATCGTTTAATTGGTTTTTGGTATTGTTTCTGAACACCCCAAGCTAGAATGAATTTTGTGTGTATTTAAGTTAGAGACTAAGAGGACTTTAACTATGCCAACATGCAGTTCATTTGTTAAAATGCAATCTTTGCGGAGTCAATGTAGATTAATGCTACCTTAAGTACCATAATCTACATTGGTCTCACGACGCTCAAGCCGAACCTACTCGAACAATCCTATTCGGGGTGGGGGGAGGGAGGGGGGCTAGCTAATCCTTCAGTTGAGTCTCGCCATAGACTCCAAAACATTTAGGGGAAAACCAAAAAACCAAACCTCAAGTCGTTCGTCTAAAAGGACAACAGACAATTGAACCAAACTATATTTTGCCATGTAAATCTAATTTAAATCAAGTTAGGAATGGAAAAATAGTTTGGAATGCCCTTCTATAGGTGTAAATCCCTATATGAAAATTTTTCAGCATGACCCACCCTTTAAACTGGTAACTTTAGCTGATCTAAACCATGACAGCTTACACACCAGGTGCATATAGGTTAAGGTTTTATGTAAAATCCCACTCATAAGCCCAACTAAAACCACATAAATGTTTAACACATAGAACTAGAATGGCACCCACTGGGAACCACCAGCAGCAACCTTCGCTGAAGGGAGCTACAACTCCAACGTGGGTCTCCAATATTCATCCAGTGGTCGCCTCTGCAGTTCAATCGAGGGAACCCCTCTGCATGCTGATCAATCAACACCTCCAATCGTTGTGGATTTATCGTTGTAGATTTATCGTTGTGGATTTATCATTGTGGATTATATGACTTTTTCCAATGGACTTTGTTTCCAAGGGGTTAAAGCATTGCTACAATGGAATTACCAACAACATTATGGAATTACCTAAATC